CACCAGGCCACCTTTCCAGAGGGGATGATTGAAATAAAATGTTTTTTCTCAAGTAATCTTTGTCATTTGACTTTGTCTATTGTCAAACTAAAGGAGTGAAAAATAGATCGATTTTTCAGCTGTATCGCCCAGCCTTATATCTTGGGATGTCACACAAAAATTTGAAAAAAAAAAAACTTTCTCTGCTTTTTGTGTTTGGTCATACTACGCACGTACTGTCAACTTTAAAATTCCAATGTTTAGCTGAGAGTGGACCACTTCAAAAGCAAGATTTTAAAAATTACAATTTATATTTTTCCAAGCAGTTTAAAGCAAAGTTTAATTTGAAAAGAATGTGCAGGAAGGATTGAAAAGCATGTTAGCACGGTAATGTAGGCTTGAGTTCATTATCTGACCGTCACGCATGCATATACACACCAGGAACCTGGAAACTTACGTAAAAAATACTGAATTACAAAAAACATTAAAAAAACAAACATGTTTCATTGATATATATACAAAAATGAATATTAGGAACTATATTTATCAAAAATTATACTGGGCAAGTAAAAATAGTTTCTGGGCAAATGAAATGTAAAAGTCACTTGCCCAAAGGGCAAATGGTAAAAATCCTTAACGTCAACCCCTGAATAAAGGGTGAATGTCTTGCCCCTCAGAGTCTGATCAATCGTCTGCAATATTTCCTTTACCCCCCTGTCTTCATCCATGCTGCCATCAGCGTTTTCCTATCAACAAACTGAACCCTAACGGATGGTTTCTCTTCTTGATTTCCCTGTTTTGTTACAGCTGTTCCATCATCCTGTTGTCAGTTTGAAGAAAGTAAGAAAAATACAGGTATGGAAAGTCCAGATGTTTAGTTTCACATGAAGAAAGTAAAACTAAAAAGTCTTTAGAAAAGAAACAATCAAGTAAAGTACATATACTAAAAAAAGAAAAAACTTCTTAAGTATAGTAACTAAGTATTTATAGTTTGTTACCCCACACCTCCAGGATGCTTCAGTGTGGTTTCCTCTGGGTTACCTCGGTGGTGCTGCTGGTATCTTCCTGGCCAGGCGGGGGCGCTGTCCGGTAAGTGAGCAGCTTTGACCGGCGGAGAAGCTGCTCCGTTGCTACGTCACCATATTTCATCGGATGCCATAAAACAGCGTGGAAAAGCCTGGAAGTTTTACCCTAAAAGCTGCCAGAATTAGGTGAGTTGAATAAGAAAAAGATGAAACTAGATTTTTAACATGCTTTGGTTTTAGATAGATAAATGAAGCTGAGAGAGCTTTGATAGTTCGCCAGTGAACCTGTTGCTGTTCCTCGCTGTCAGATTGAGATTAATAATCTAATCCTGTTGTTTAGAGACAGAATGAGGGAAGCTGCTGTGCTGCTCGCATCCTGTGTAGCTGTGTGTCTCCTCCCGAGCTTCAGTCTGTCCGCCAGACAAGGGCAGGACCTCCGATGTGGAGGTATACATGTTTCCACTTGGTAGTTTTTCAGAGCTAAATCAGAAATCTGTTCACCTTTCTGTGTTGTTCTGCCCCTTCAGCATGCAGGGCTCTGGTCGATGAGATGGACTGGGCCATATCCCAGATAGACCCAAAGAAGATGATCCAGACCGGATCGTTCAGGATCAACCCGGATGGGAGTCAGTCCATCAGAGAGGTGAGGAGGCAGAAACCCAGCAGCACCTGGAGCTCCTTATTCTGTTACTGTTAGGATCAGGAGGCAGAGAAAAGTTCCTCCTCTCATTAGTCTAAGGACTCATGTATGGAAGAGGATTAGGGCCACTGAAAATATAAAAAGGTTAACTGAAATTGTATTTCAGTATAATATGACAAAAAATCTCTGAATTCTGACAGCTAGCTCTCTTGGTTTAATTACCTTCTGCTCTTCCCTTAAAGGAATAGTACACCCAAAACATGATTAGCCTTCATTTTCTACTCACCCCCATGCTGAACAACACTCTGGAGTACTTTTTTG